ACATTTTTGCTTACCGCTAAAGACCCTCAAATGAACGGAGAGGAAGAGTGTGTGGCCATTACCCACGAACTCGCGCCCTTGCTTACTCGTGTTTGTGACCTCAAATCTGCTGAAGCTAGCCATTCAATTTCCACGCGCATCCGAACAAGGATCTCGATCAGGCAGAAATGAGTTAAAAATATTAAACACTGTTGAGCCTTTCCAAACTCGTTAAAAACTGATCCGATCGAAATTCACGGATGACTAAACATTTGGACAAAAATTCTCTTCGAGGGCATTTCAACTATAGAACACGATTGTCACATCAGTCTAGTGCGAAGGCACCTCGCACTCGAGCCGAGGCACCATCGTCATCACATAGTTTGGCACCGGCCCCGTGGTACTTTTAATGTATGTGTTAGGCGTTTTCACACTAAACGAACATGGTATTCGTGTTCTTCGGGCCTAACTTCTCCCGGCGACAACTTTATAACCAAATTTACAGTCATAGACAAGTTAGATAAAATTCCGGTTGTCTTCGAGGAGTGAGGCAGTAAATGGGTGAGTAGTGCCAAAGAGTCGTGTCTGGAACTCATCGCAATCCTGTTTAATGCATAAAGCGTTTCAGAGTTCTTGAAGAGAAGAGAAAGCTACCGTATAAAGGGATATACAGGAGATTACCGATTACTAAATATTCAGCAAGAGCACTATGCAAGACTATTGAAAGCTTTTTGAAGGTGTCTGATCTGATCTCTGCCATGCGACCACGCCAATCCACGTCCACGTCCGTTGCCAGAGCACTGGACGAGGCCATGTCGCTGTTCTTCGAATCACGGTCGGGAGCCAATCGACGTCAGATCATCATTTTAGCGCATGACGGAGTGAACACTGACCTTGTAGCAGAGACGTTGGAAGCAGTGTAAGTTTTCTAATAAAGAAAATCATTGGTGTCCATGGGGTCGAAAATAGGGCCAAATGCCAGATCTCTTGCCAGCATTCCTTGTGCAGAGCTGTCTGGGACAATTCGACCTATTTTGACGTCTGGAAAGTTTCTGTACTGACGAGTCCATACTGCTCCTACCAAGCCTTTAGCATGTAGTCGGTATTTTGGCTATCAACTGTTTGCGTCCCCTACTTCGAGAACCTAGGTCTAGAATTATTTACGTAAGTAGAAGATTCATGCGCTATCACAACTTTACGGGGACATCGGTGGCAAAGCCCTCAAACCGGTGACAAGACCTCTCCTCTTTGATAAACGGAGACTGAAGCTTAGGCGGAAGGCGAGATCCCAGGGTACGTGAGCAGTTTTCATATTACCGGATCCTAACCCCACTAGGGTTAGCTGGAAGGTGCCCGTAATCTATTAGCGCCGCGAATCTTATGCCGATTCTGATCCATGCAATTAAATTAAAGATAAATCGAGACAGGAAGAGAATCCAATTCGCGGAGAAGTAACCCCCACGTAATTATACTTCAACTGAATATTTAAAGCCTTTGATATTGATTCGAATTCTTCTTATTCGGTGATAGGCTTCGACTAGCCCTGTAGCTCCGATAAAGGTATTGTAGCACTTCAATCTCCGGGATTTATATAACAGATTAGATGATTTCAAGGCTTAGCAGGTGGATGAGATACTTGATATCATACATATATGGCTACTATGAATCCACCAACATTCCTAAGGTTCCAAAGGAAGCAAGATGGCCAAAATAGGCGCTATCGCAGAATACGGGGGCATCATTCAGAACTAAACTTAGGAGGGAGCAGAAACTCCGAGAAAAATTAAAAGAGCTCACGCACCCTGAAGTCTCGGCTTTCCAGCTTGAGCTGATTCCTTTTTTAAGCAACAGGTGGTATGTTTACGTCTTTCGAATGCAATTGCCATCACAAGTGACGCGATTGCGACATAACCAAAAACCTCATTGAAGTTGAACATGGTAAAATAGATATCTAGAGACGTCTCAGTGTTGGTTTTCAGGTCAAACGTTGAAAAACTTGGAGCCGTTGTATTCGCTGTGACCGGTAGCTCAAGAGCAAATGCGTTCGCTCTGCTGGGTTACGCTGGATCGAGGGATCGACTGTTTGTCTCAGCGGCTGATCGAGCCGTTTTTCAAGAGGCCATGGATGAGGTATAAAGTTATCGCCATGTGTTGACCGTGATCGGCCTTTATGATTGGCAACTGTGGTGGGTGGTGCACTGGTAATGGGACAGCAATATTGTTGTTTGTATAGAGAGCATACTTCGAGGAATTCTTTTGTATTATGTCACGCGTTGAAAAAAGAACGCTCTGATATTGGGGTAGAAAATATGGCAAGATTTGAGTGGGTTATGTGAGAGGTAGCAAGAGAGATGGGAGAATCGTCAAAACAGCAGGATAAGAAAACCCAGCCCCACCAGGAAAAGAGTCAAAGTGATGAGTAGGAATTGAGAAACTAGGCGATTTCTTTTGTGAGTTGACAATCAACTAAGGATAATGCACTAGGTTTGCTTCAGGCGCTTGGAGTGTGCGATCCCATATCGTCCGCCAGTGGTTCCTGCATCGAGAAATTCCAATCGCAGAGTTCATGGAGTGAGAGCGAGTCGCGCCAAGGAAGCAAAGAACCTTTTTGTCGCTGGACAGAAGTGTGGCTTCGAAAAGGTAAGCAGTACCGGTTCAGTGAACACAATGGCTGAAGCTGGATGGAACAGAGCTGTTCTTATGACGTTATTGGGTGTTATCGGTGGAAGGGCGTCAGGAGGATGATGTCTGGAGTCCGCCAAGAACGGTCAATGACGTCATCAAAGCATATCCACCTTTCAGTTATCGTGTCCACCTTCAAATGATAAGGAAGTTTTCAAATAGTTCAAAAAAAGGAAAGGGATGAATCTCTTCGGGTGTGGTTCGCTAGCACAGAAAGCGACTTTCCCACTTCTAGCTTCGCAAAATTTTTTCGCTGCGGGAACTCCTGGCCCAGTACCACCGATCAGCAGCGGACCAGGGGCTCTCTCAACAACAAAAACTTTGCGCTGCGAAAGTGAAAAGCGAAATGTCGCTTCTGTCCTAAGAACCACAGCCCGAATGAACCCCCCTCCATAAGTTAACTCCCTGCGAAGATTATCACAAGAATGCTGAGTTGTGGGCAAAACTTTCGCCCCAGCCGGGATTCGTACCCGGATCTCTTGCTTTCCGGGCAATTGTGCTACCAGTTACACCACCGGGGCACCATTTCACCCCAACTCAGCTTCGATGGTGAAGTTACCATAGCTTATCAGCATTCACACGTATAACGTTCGAACTGCGGCGTAAAACAGCAGTTATCCAATAAAAACAAGTCAAAATGGTAACATCTAGTAAAGCTTTCAGCCTTGCGGTTGAATGCCGAAATCGGCCTACCGGTTCATCACGTTATACGTGTGAATGCTGATAAGCTATGGTAACTTCACCATCGAAGCTGAGTTGGGGTGAAATGGTGCCCCGGTGGTGTAACTGGTAGCACAATTGCCCGGAAAGCAAGAGATCCGGGTACGAATCCCGGCTGGGGCGAAAGTTTTGCCCACAACTCAGCATTCTTGTGATAACTTTCGCAACGCGAACTGCGGCGTAAAACAGCAGTTATCCATATAAAACCTGCGATAATCTAGAATTTTTCAGTTTTTGGAAGGCTGAAAATGTAAATTTCGAAAATGTTGCGATTGGAATAGATGAACCTCTATGTCTTTCTCAAAATATTTGTAGCTATATCCCCTATCTCTGAGGATTTTTTGAATTCATTTTACAAACACCGCCGTACGTTCCACACTGACTTTTAGGAAAGCAAATTTATTTGTGTACCTCTAAAAATTGATTTAACAATTGATGCGCTTTCATGTTTCGGCTTTGAAAAGCAGTGAACACAATGGCTAGAAGGCAAACGCAGTTGGCATAGATAGAAGAGCGCTTGGCAGCAGTCCGGCAACCGCTTTCACCTGTGACGTCTTCGAGTTGCCTCAGCCTCTCAGCCGTCGTGCTCCCTGCTTTCAAATCCTTTTTTTACTAAATCGATAAAGTAAAGGGTCAAAATGTCCGCTCCAGGGTGCCGTTTCGTGGATCGCCGTTCTGTTATCTTTTAGAAGTACGAACCGCTTTAGGTCGACCTCGCGCTTGTGCTCGACACTTCCGGCTCGGTCTTCAGAGTGTTTGAAGACCAACGTGAAATCGCTCTGAACATTCTGGACGAGATACCTGTCGAAGCGTACGTGGACGCAGTACAGGTTTGTATGCAGACTTTTAGAATACCCATTTATTAGAGGTAACATATACACTAACAAAGAACATTAGTGAAAGCAAATTCAGGTGTCTGTAACCAGATTTGCTGCCGGTGCAGATGTGATTCTGCCGTTCCTAAAGGGAAGGGCTGTGTCTGAGGTCAAAGATGCGATAAAGGAAGTAAAATTCACTGGACAGAATACTAGAATTGCCAGCGCTGTTGAGATAGCACTAGACGAGATGGAAAGAGCCAAGCGACCGGATGCCAAGCAGGTATGTACGGTATTCGAAAATGTTCACCACGTTTAGCAAAGTTTCCTAAGAGTTCCAATTCTCAAGAAAATTATCTTTCCGCGAAACTTTAAGCGGTGGGTAAATTAAGAGCTTCTCTCAGCAGAGCTAATCATTTCACAGGATACAATGGATTCGACAAAGTGGACTGCTGCGGTAATCAACTAAATATATAATATAAAAATTTTCATAATATTTCAGATTTTCGTTTTGATATCTGACGGTCATGGACAGGAGTACTGGAATGTCGTACAAGCCACAGGAAAACGTTTACAGGTAGTGTATTCACTTTCCAGGGTCAATCTTGATTTATCTTTGATCCCATCTTCTTTCCGACTTCTTTTTTTTGGGAGTTGACAACACTGTCCTGAATGTTGACACAAATGGCCAGTGCATTTCGGATATGGACATACGCACGCACTTAACATATACTTTAATCAGCGAGTTACTGGAAAGTGCATTTGGCAATGAGCTACGATGGCTCAACTGTGCATAGCAGAGTGTTCATCTTCTCAAACTAAGCCTATCGCCTAATCTACTCTAGAGCGACGGAAGGCTTAGAAGGTGGGGCTAGACCACCCGTGCCAGTTTTGGGGAACCGAGAGGAGGCCCGTCGCGAGCGGCAAGAAGGCCAAGACGCAAAAGGGTCGGCGAACGGGTTTGCAGGCCCTCCTGTTAGGTTAATTGTTTTCGGTTAGTTTAACCCATTCGCGACCGCGCAGGATTGCGCAATAGCAGCAGCGTCAGGAGATTTTTCTTCAATAAAATTCGAGTGGAGGGAGATTTCCTCTGCCCAGGGCTGGCGTAGATGAGCGAGGGTATGAAGATTCTTTCCATGGAAGAAAACTTTCCAAATTCCATTTCAAGCCCTGCAGCCACAGTAATACCATTGTCCCGAGTGAGAGCTTTGTCAGCCACCGGTGGCTGACATTGTCACGAATGGGTTAATTAAAATGCGCCATGCACACCTACATCGCACAGCACACGGTGCGACTCGTCCACTGACCCGTCTGCGTCTTTATTTTCCTCAGCGCGTTACGGGCTTCGAGTCGGGTACCCGCAGCTTTGAGACTCGTTTCTACACCATGTCCTGGTTTCGCAATTTGCAACAGCCAAACGCTTCTAGTTTTTAGAAACGATTCAAAACTCTTCTGATTTTAGGAGACAAAGGCCGAACTGTTCGCCGTCTCGGCCAGTCAGGACTACAACGAAGCCGAATTGTTGATTTATGTTGGCGACGAGAGCCGTGTTTTTGTCGGGCCGAAATACAAAGGGTAGGTCGAAGAGATTGAGCTGATTACGGGCATTTTTTGAAAATTAACAGGAAAGCGCAACTGTTAAGTGAAAATCTGACTTTACTCCGTTCTACACTAAAATTTGTTCTGATATCCTTATAATGATTCATAGTATTGTGAAGAAACTGCTGATGCTTGAAAAGTCAACTTCATTATATTTATTCTCAGGTTCTTATCCTCACTCTCATCATACATGAAGGATTGCATCTTCAAGGGTGAGAAGCCTCCTGCCGCCGTATCCTCAGGAAGGAATTCTCTGGTAGGAATCTCCTGAATCACTTTTTTTTCACGCGACTGAAGTCTCTTTGAAGGCATCGAATATGATAAATCTGGGTGGATCTAAGGTGGAACTAGGGGTGCTGAATGGTGCGCTAATCGTCTAACAAGCAGAAAAGTCTCTCAAAAACTCGTGAAAGTTATCCTTGCTTCGTTCTTTTTGTCACAAACAGCTTTGCGGCTCAGAATTGGCTGTTTGGCTAAAGTTACCCTGAACGCATACATAACACAACAAGGCTGCAAAATATGGCCGTATGGTACCAAATGCGCTTCCAAAATGAAAATTGAAAGACGATTATTGCCGTATCACAGGACCCCAATTGTGAGCGGAGCGATTTCGGGGCAGGGCTCCTTTTAAGTTTAACAGTTTATAAACAGCGCTCCTTACGCGCGAACCGCTTCCTTTGCCCCCTCAGGCCGATGTCAGGCTTGGAGAAACGAGCGATTCAGTGGCTGCAACGCGATCGGCCTAATGCCGCTTGCAGTAGGTGCATATACTTTCTCGGTGCGCATCCAGTTTATTGTAATTGCTGCCTTTGAGGATTCTTTTTCTTTATATAGCCGTGGCCATTTTTTTTTGTTATGCTAGAAGAACTTTAGACAATGTTAATTTAGGATTTTTCTACAACTGAAGAAAGCCCTCTAGCGGAAAAGGCGACCACAACGATTGTAGACACCGTCGTGGAGAAGGGGGCGACGCCCATCAATGGAACCACTCTCGTAGAGGAAGTTGTAGCTCTAACGACCGAGCAAGGACTGGGGGAGAATTCAACTTCTCCTTCAACAGCCTCAGCAACCAGTGCGTCATCGTCCGTCACAGAAGGAGACGCTCCCTCAAGTACCGAAGAGAGCCTATTAGGAAGCGACGCTTTTTCCTCGACAGGTTAGCTTTGAATCGGAACATCTGGAAATTTTAGGTTCCATGAAATAGTCTCACGGGTACCATCGTCGTCTAACTGGTTCGCTCTATTTCAATCCTTTGCTTCTGCTGCCCCTTTCTTGGCGCACCCTCCGCCATACGATAGGAGGCCAGAAACGTTCGCATCACGATGGCAAATCCGAAAAATCGGGTCAAACAAAATCGTTTCGAATCAGTGTGGACCGACCTGGAAACTGCGTGTGAAAGGCATAATTTAATTCCAGACTGAATTTCCAAAAGTTTTTGGATTTTCTCTAAACGTAATCATAACGACGCATCCAGGCTAGCGATTACTTGCTTTTTGAGTTATGATTCGGTGAGTTGTACCGACGTTCTATGCGGTAGCAAAAAGTTGCTCCGAAACGGTTGATCAACCCCTCAGCGGGCCTTGTCTAATGAACTGGCTTGAAAGCATACTTCGTAACCAAATTTTGTGGTTATTCTACTAACAATCAGCAATGAAACAGGAGGTATGAAGAGAGCTTACGGTGAAGGAAAAGCAAGACACTAAACCAAAGGTCTCCTCTTGTGAGGCCATCCTTGTCACATAGGTGAGAAACAGCCTGCCGAGGAGATAAAGGATGTGGGAGAACACGCCGTACGAGAGGACGATGGCATGCGGACGCTGCGTAGCATACAACAGGCGGGCCATTAAAGGCAGGGAAAACAGTGAAATTGAGGCCTTAACCTTCAATAAGGTCGAGTGTGGTACGACGGCGAGATAGGGTG